GTGGTTTCCAGTCTTTTTGTTGCCATATATCATGCTTCGTGATTTTTCTACACAAATCTCTGTTCACATCTCTGAATACTTCCCTAGAAAAAATACCTTTTGACAATTCTGTGGCCACGGGTTATGAATTATTTGAGGCTTTTGTTGTATATTGCCAAAGGACATTCTAGAAAGACTGTACCCAGTTACAATATAATTTTTTAATAATATTTTATTGTTTTCAGTGAAAGTTTACACAGCAAATTAGGTTCTCATTTAACAATTACTACACAAATTGTTCAGTGACATTGGTTACATTTTTCACATGTGTCAACATTATCATTAATTCCATTCTGGATGTTTCATTTCCATAATAATCTTTCTTTAAAACTTACACGGTTTATTGTTACATAACGTTTCTTCTAAATTTTGTCTATTTTTTGTTGTTGTTGAGAATATACACAGCAAAGCATATACCAATTCAACACTTTCTACATGTACAATTCAGTGACATTGATTACATTCTTCGAGTTGTGCAACCATTCTCACCCTCCTTTTCTGAGTTGTTCCTCCCCCAATAGCTTAAACTCACTGCCCGTTAAGTTTCGTATCTAATTTTTCCGATTGCTGTTGTCAGTTTGATCCCGTACAGATAGTTCTTAAAACAGCATAATGCTCGAGACAGACCTTTGTTACTAGTTAAGCTAAACTATTGCTTGGTTTTAAGGTGACTTCAGGGGATATTTTTGATTTAAGGTTTAAAGATTATGTCAGGGCAGTAGTTTCAGGGGTTCAACCAGCCTCCATGGTTCCAGAAAGTCTAGAGTCCATGAGAATTTGAAATTCTGTTCTGTGTTTTCCCGCTTTTGAACAGGATTCTTCTATGAATCTTTGATCTAAATGTTCCATAATGGTAGCCGGACACCATCCAGTTCTTCTGGTCTCGTGGCAAAGGAGACAGTTATTTATGGAGGCAATTAGTCACACATTCCATATCCTCCCTCTCTTCCTGACTCTCCTTCCTCTGTTGCTCCAGGTGAATAGAGACCAATTGTTGTGCCTTAGATGGCCTCCTGCAAGCTTTTAAGACCCCAGGCACTACACAACAAACTAGGAGGTAGCACAGAAGCACTAAACAAGTTATTAGGCCAGTTAACTGGGATGGCCCATGAAACCCTGACCTAAACCTCTAAACCAAGGAACCAAAGCCCATGAGGTGTTTGGTTGCATATAAGCAGCGGCAGCAGCCACTTTTTTTTTTTTTTTGGTGGTTGTTGTTAGTATATCTATCACACAACTTTTGCCAGTTCAACTTTTTACAGGTGTACAATTTATTGACAGCAATTATAATAATTGGCTGTGCAACCCTACCCTTAATCAATATGATGTTTCCATCACCATTAACCCACGCTTTCCCCCTCCCTCCCACCCCTAGTAACTACTAATAAATTTTGTTCTCTGTATATTTGCCTTTTCTTGTCTTTTTGTATAAGTGAGGTTGTCATGGATTGAGTTGTATCTCCCAAAAGTATTTGTCAGCTTGGCTGGGTCATGACTCCCAGTATTGTATGATTGTGTTATCTGATGTGATTTCCTTATGTGTTGTAAACTCTATCACTATGATGAGGTTATACCGATGAGGTTGACAAGATTAGATAGTGTCTTAATCCAATCTCTTTTGAGATATAAAAAAGAGAAGCGAGCAGAGACACATGGGAACCTCATACCACCAAGAAAGCAGTGCTGGGAGCAGAGCACGTCCTTTGGACCTGACGTTCCTGTGCAGAGAAGCTCCCAGACCAAAGGAAGACTGATGACAAACCTTCTTCCAGAGCCAACAGAGCAAGTGTTCCCCTGGAGCTGATGCCCTGAATTTGGACTTGTAGCCTACTGGACTGTGAGAGAATAAATTTCTCTTTGTTAAAACCACCCACTTGCGGTATTTCTGTTGGAGCAGCACTAGATGACTAAGACCGAGGTCATACAGTATTTTGTCCTTTTGTGATTGACTTATTTCACTCAGCATAATGTCTTCCAGTTCCATCCATATTGTAGCATGTATCAAGACTTTATTTCTCCTACTGACTGAGTAGTATTCCATCGTATATATGTACCACATTTTGTTTATTCATTCACTGCTGATGGGCATTTAGGTTGTTTCCACCTTTTGGCTATTGTGAATAGTGCTGCAATGAACATTGGTGTACAAGTCTCTTTTTGATTCTCTGCTTTCAAGTCTTTTGGGTATATATCTAAGAATGGAATTGCTGGGTTCTTTTTTTTTTTTTTCCCGCTTTGTGTTACTTACACATGAAGCTTGTTGTAAACCCTGTTGCCGTCGAATTCATTCCGGCTCATAGTAACCCTATAGGACAGAGTAGAGCTGCCGCATAGGGTTTTCTAGTCTGTAATCTTTATGGGAGCAGACTGCCAAGTCTTTCTCCTGTGGAGTGGTTGATGAGTTAGCAACCAAGCACTTAACCACTGCGCCACCAGGGATCATTTTAAGTTTGTTATAAATCCATTGCCGTTGAGTCGATTCCGACTCATAAGCAACCCTGTAGGACAGAGTAGAACTGCCCCATAGGGTTTCCAAGGTGCGGCTGGTGGATTCAAATTGTTGACCTGTAAGTTAGCAGACTGAGCACTTAACCACTTCACCAACGGGGCTCCACAAGTTTGTTATCATGAACGTGTACTATGGTTCTACATTTTTCAGAAAAGAAATAATAAACCATTTTTTCCCAAGGCTAAAAGTGTCATGTGCCGATTGTTGAAAATGTAGAAAAGTATAAAGAAGAAACTAACAATCACAACAGTTAACATTTTAGTATGTTTCCTTTCAGGCTTCCTTTTATGCATTTTTTTTACATAGTTGAGTTCAGACTGTATATGATTTTGTTTCCTGCTTTTGTCTCTTAAAATAAAAACATAAGTATTTTCCCACATCATAATGATATTTGGATAGCTGCACCATATGCCATTTTACATAGATTAATTAATTTGCTATTTCATTAAAATTGAACATTTAGGCTGTTTCCAGTTTTACTATATTAAAAATGATTCTTTAATAAGCATCTTAGTATGAAATCATTGTCTGCATTTCTAAGTGTTTCCCTGAGAGAGATTCCTGCAAGTGGGATTACTCGGTCAAAGAGTAGATTTTAAGAAGTGGGATTAATGGATAGAAAATATTTTTATGGATTACAAAAGGTTATACCAATTTCTACTCTCCCCCAACAGTATATGAGCATCTCATCACTCTCTTGCCAGCATTGTACGCTATCCTTTCTTTTCTTTCATCTTTCCTACTCTGACAGGTGAATGTGGTATCTTGATTTTTTTTTTCTGTTAGAGCGAGACTGACCATTTCTCATAGGCTTATTCGCTATTGGTAATCCCCTCCTTTGTGGACTACCTCTTCCTATTTTTGCCCATTTATTGATTAGAATCTTATGAATTTTATCATCAATTAAAAAGAACTCTTAAAGGATATTAATCCTTTGTCATGTTAGTTGCAAATGAAACTAAATTTTCACAAGTTTTTTTTTTTAAAGTATCTTGGCCACGTACATTTTTGTTAGAAGACAGTTAGATTTTTAACTACCAATGAATTCTCTCAGTTTGAGCTCCAGTTTACCCATGATTAAAGAGGTTTGACAAAAGATTTTGGAAGGGCCATTTCAGCGAATCCTAAATTTAGCTCTGTGAGAAAAATGTGTGGGCCCAATTTAAAAATTGTTTTACCCATATGCACTTTAAAATGATTTAAGATGATGGGGTGTAGGGGGATGGAAGAGTTTGTGCCATTAATGTTTGGCCAAATCAGGTTTTAGAATTCTGAGGTAAGAAAAGCCAGTTCTCTCTTCTCAAGTCTCCTGCGTATTGGGAGGGGGGAGCAAATTATGTGCAGGCGAACAGAATCCTTGATGGAAAAGTACTGCTCTGGGCAGCAGATGTGTGCATGGCTTGGTTTTAATTATTTTTCTCCCTTTCTATCCTTTCCTCCGTTCCCCTCCCCCTTCGACAATAAAGAGCTCGGCCAGATTAGGACTCTAGAGGGTAGAGACAATCCTTCCTCCACGGAAGCCCACTCAGGCGAAGCCTGCCAGCACATCAAAGGCCGGATGAAATACCTAGGAAAGAATAGGGGACCAAACCTAGGATACTTCCAAACCCCCGCTTTCGTCTGGGCTCCAGCTCAGGGTTATTGTGACTGCCAACTGCCAAGGGTAGCTCGACAGACATCAAATAGAAGAACGTTGCCAAACAAAGAAACTTTGGCCATTACTCTGGGCCAAAAAAAAAAAAACGTGCAACAAGAGAACTTGCTTGCTGATGCCTTATGACTGAGCAAATCAGAGATTGCAAAACGGATTAGTTTTTCGAGAACAAGCACAAAGTAAATCGACAATCCTATCCTTTTCCCCAGATATTGGGAGCGCTGTCAGAGGCCTGGGCACTTTTCGCTGTCTCATTGGTGTCCGCCCCACAGCATCTGGGGGGGTTGGGGTGGGTAGGATTGGGGGAGGGTCGTCTAGAAGAGCGAATGGGGGTCCCGAAGGCGAAAATGCGTAGTCTGAGTCTCTAAGGTGGAAAAAAAGCTCAAAGAATGAGTTTCCTGTCTCCTAATGGGGCCTCGTGCTCCCCAGGGGTGGCCAAGGGAAGGAAGACGGGGTCTTGAAGTGGGGGGCGGAGTCTGACGCAAGAGACAAGGAGTCGTTGTCTGGGGCGCAGCCGGTAGGGGAGGGGTCCTCTGACAAAGCTCAGCCTAGCCTGAGCGGGTCGGTCAGCGAGGAGCAACGGGGGTGGCCGAGGAGGGCCTAGCTACAGGCTGGAGCGCGGATGGCGTGAGGCTGGCGCAGGGAGCTGCAGGTGAAGCGGCGAGTGGGCCGCCCTCCGCGGCGGGGGACGCAGCATCCGGCGGGCGGAGGGCGGGGGAGGCAGAACGTAGGGGCCGCTGGCCCCGCCTCCTCCGCCGACTCTACGTCCGGAGCTGGAGCTCCGGCCGCGGCTCGCTGGCTGAGCGGGAGGAGGAAGCGGCGAGTTTCAGAGCCCTGCCTAAGCCCGGCCCAACCTTTGCTTCAGAGATCATGGCTGCCGAAGATGTGGTGGCGACGGGCGCCGACCCAGGCGAGCTGGAGGGCGGCGGGCTGCTTCATGAGATCTTCACCTCGCCTCTCAACCTGCTGCTGCTCGGCCTCTGCATCTTTCTGCTCTACAAGATCGTGCGCGGGGACCAGCCGGCGGCCAGCGGCGACAGCGACGACGACGAGCCGCCCCCGCTGCCCCGCCTCAAGCGGCGCGACTTCACCCCTGCCGAGCTGCGGCGCTTCGACGGCGTCCAGGACCCACGCATACTCATGGCCATCAACGGCAAGGTGTTCGACGTGACCAAGGGCCGCAAGTTCTACGGGCCCGGTACGGCAGTCGGCGACTGGGGCGCTGAGACAAAAGAGAGGGGTCTCAGCGCAGGGCTGGGCCCAGGGAAGGCGATGGGGGGGAGCAGGGCGCCCCTGAGGGACGGGGGGCGGCGAGCTGGGGGGCAGGCATTCCGATAGCCCCGCGGTCGTGGCAGGGCGGCACCCCTGGCGCTCGGGGAGGGCTGCGGGCTCCTGGGGGGCGCCGATCCCCGGCGCGCTGTAGCCGGGCTTAGATCGGGGATGGAGGAAAAAAGCCACGGCGCTTAAACCCGGGGTGGGTGGGACCGCGAGGCTGGAAGGGGAGGCACATTAAAGCCTGGGGTGCGGGGGGAGTTTTCAAAGGTATAATGTTTGAGGGTTCCTGAAACGGGTAGTGGTGAAGGGCTCGAGAAAAGAAATGAGGGTGTCTCGAGGGAGCATGAGGGGGAGCGGGCGGAGGGAAGTCCGGGCTTGGAGACCACGCGAAGGCCAATGAGGTCAGGAGTAGCCATGGTGGAATGTGGGGGTGTAGAAGAAGGAAAGCGGAGATGGGATTAGCAGCAGGTAGAAGAAGCATTGTGCTTGGTGGTGAGTGATGTGTTTGTGCTGTATGTGCGGGCGCGGTGTGTGCGTGTTGAGTGTATGTGGTTTATTAGGTGTATGTGTCCACGCGCGCAATGTGGCATGTGTCAGGTATGTGTGTGGCATGTGTTTGTGTGTGTGTGTGTGTGTGTGCGTGCGTGTGTGTGTGTGTGCCCGCGCTATGAGTGGTGGATGGAACGGCGAGAAAGTGGACAAGGGCGACTGCATTGGGGGAAGTGAGCTGTTGAGGGAAGAATAAAGGCAGGATGTGGTGGACAGTGGTTATGTGGCAAGATGATAAGGTAATACAGTGTTTAGTCTGAGGCAGGAGATAAAGGACTGTAAGCCAAAAAAATGGAGGGAGGGAGAAGTGGGAGGATTCTGAGAAACAAAAGGGGTCGGGCTAGGGGGCTAGGAAGGCTGCTGGGTGGGGGAATTTCGGGAGAAGCCACCCAGAGGGGAAATGAGGGATGGATGACTGCTGGGCTGTTGAAGGGAGCAGGCTTGAAGGGTTCCTTAAAGGTAAGGTTTTTCCGAACCTGGTTGCGCATCAGAGTCACTGGATGCACTTGAGGAAAAATACAGATTCCCTGGCCTAACCACCGTAACCCCAGAAGAAGAGCTTCTGTGGAGGAGGTCCAAGAATCTGCATTTTCACAAGCTCTCCCAGGCAAATTTGAGAAGCAGCCACGTTTGGAAAGTTCTGATTTATAGCATATTTAGAAAGGAGGAGGAAGAGATATTAGCTCCTCCACTTGGACTCCTCTAAAAACCAGGGCTTCGAACCAGTTCATTCCGGCTCAAACTCCTGCTGATAATTTACATTTCCACCCCAGATATACTGAATCAGAATTGACATTTTAATGAGAGCCCCAGGTGATTCTTATGTATAATAAAATTTGAGAACCACTGTTGTACTGGTGGTGGTATGTCCACATTGATAGTTGCTCTCTCCCCATTGGCCTGGAAAGAGGGAAGAGTATCCTGTCATAGCCTCTCCTGTCCCCTTACTTGCCCAGTCCAGCTAATTCAGATCAGATGTGTCAAGGTTCTTGGGCCACTTCCCAGTTAGTAATTTTTCCTTGTGGGCAATTTAGAATACCTACGTCCTGGAGGCATGTAACTGAACGCCACTCCTGTATTATTTGTCACCTTTAGTGGTGCACCTAGAGGCGTTATCAATAAACAATTATGCAAATATTTGTTGTTACTGAGCTACACTATGAAGTAGTCAAAACATGTGCATGGGGCGCTATCAGTGATTGTAGTTTGCAAAGTCATTGAGAGGAATGTAGGCCTGTGCACAGATCACAAGACTGGGAGTCAGGTAACTTGGGTTCTAGTCCTGATTGATTCACTAACCAGCTGTGTGACCTTGTACAAAGCATTGTTTTTGTTTTTGTTTTTCCCCCCGGGCCTTAGTTTTCCCTTGGAAAAATGATCGGAATGGCTCATTATGCTCCATCCTGCACTATCATCCAGTAAGCCTGTGAATATACGACAACAGCATGGAAATGATACTTCATGTTATAAAGGAGTCCTGAAAAGTACTTATTCAACTGCCTACTGTTTTATGCCAGCCACTGTTGTAGGTGCTAGGAATATAGCAGTGAACAAAACAGACAAATCCCTGCTCATGAAGCTTGCGTTCTAGTGAATATACATTGTGGTAAATGCTATGTATTCTCCAAAGACTTTTAATGCTCCCCTTATACCTCGTTTATTCTGTGAGGTTTGACCACATAGTGACCATAATTTCTGAAATGGTGAGGTTGAAACCAGTAGTTTGCCTATTTTCAAGGGCTAGGTGCTACCCTTTTCACTGGAGGTGTATGTTTGTGGAAAATGCGTGAAGGCTTTTTACCTTCTGTAATGTAATGGAAACGGTAGCACTTAATGATTAAAAACAACCATTTTTCTTTGGAATCTTAAAGTTAATCGTAAAATTTGTCTAATTATGAAAATATTCCTGGTGGATTGAGGTTTCAGGTGACCAGGTCATATTGAAACTTGATCCATTCTCACACATGGTATAGTGGTTACCCATGAACTTTTTAATTTCAGGGTTGCTACTCAATATACCTTTGGGAAAAGAATACATTATTTAAAGTACACTGGATTCTTTTCATTTTCTGGTACAATATTTAAATAAGTCTAAACACCCACTTTTTAAAAGGAGCCCTGGTGGCGCCGTGGTTAAGCGCTTGGCTGCTAACTGAAAGTTTAGCGGTTCGAACCCACCAGTGGCTCCGAGGGAGAAAGATGTGGCAGTCTGCTTCCATTAATATTACAGCCTTGTAAACCCTATGGGGCAGTTCTACTCTATGCAGGTCGCTATGAGTTGGACTCCGTGGCAACGGGTTAAACATCTACTTTAAGTACAGTAAGTCCCCGGGTTAGGAAAGTCCTTCGACAACTGTACTTGCCCTTTAATGTTATGAATCAGCCCCTACTGGAAACAAATTCTTCATCACAATGGCCTTCACTTGCTGCACGTGCAGCTTTTAAATCATTGAAAAGGCCTGGAGCCTTGTACTAAACCAAACCCACTGCTGTTGAGTTGATTCTGACGCATAGCGACCCTATAGGACAGGGTAGACCTGCACCATAGGGTTTCCAAGGCTGTAAATCTTTACGGAAGCAGACCACCACATCTTTCTCCCATGAAGCAGCTGGTGGGTTCAAACCAACGACCTTTTGGTTAGCAGCCAAGGGTTTAACCACTGTGCCCCAGGGCTCCTTCTTGCACTAAACCAAACCAAACCAAAACAAACAAACCCGTTGCCATCAAGTTGATTCCAACTCATAGCGACCCTATAGGACAGAGTAGAACTGCCCCATAGGGTCCCCAAGGAGCGGCTGGTGGATTCGAACTGCTGACCTTTTGCTTAGCAGCCGAATGCTTATCCACTGCACCACCAGAGCTCCTCTTGCACTATAAACAAAGAAACCAAACCCACTGCCACCAAGTTGATTACAACTCAGCGACCCCATAGGGTTTCCAAGGCTGTAAATCTCTACGGAAGCCAACTGCCACATCTGTTCTCCCATGGAGCCGCTGGTGATTTTGAACCATCAAGCTTTCAGTTAAGAGTCGATCACTTTAACCACTCCGCCACCAGAGTTCCTTAAGTAAGTCTAAATAATAACAGTATGCACATGTTCGACTTACCTACAAATTCTTAAAGACATACTTAGGAACAGATCTCATTTCATAACCTGGGGACTGACTGTACCTGCAGAATGATTTACTGCTCTCTTAAACATTCAGTACAATGTTATCTATATAGTTGCATTCTAATACTTTATAGAATTATTTTGGAGTATTAATTTGGCCTTTTTTCCGTGAAAGTTTTAGTATTTTCTCACTCTTCAAGGCCACCTAAAAAAGAGGGAAGGCACTGAGCTCCTGTGCTATCTCTTATTTATTGACAGTGAAGGTTATATAACATGTGGATAGATTTCCGAACCACTGATAACCTTATAATTTCTTTTGCACATGTTAATGTGTGAGTCTTGCAGCCAACGATCTCTATTAAGATACCTTTCACTCGCTTTTTAAAAAATCAGTACATTTATAAGGAAATACCTTCATTTACTCATTCATGCTTATTCTTTTAAGAAACTATAACTTTAAGAAAAAAAACTATAACTCTCACTAGTGTAGCTCCAGTGCCTAGAACAGAGCCAGGTTCAATGTCTTCACATCAAATTCTGGTCCATAGACTCAGTATTATCTTGGTAGATCATTTCCTACACCCCACCCTCAGGGAATAATCATTCATGACTTTTTACTAGCTATTTGAAAATCCCAGAAGATTGATGAAAATGTATAGCATTTTGGTTTCCTTTTAGCTATTGAAAAGGTAAACAACAATAGGTCTTTCAGTGTCTGTTACATAATGACTAAGGTTTCAATATCACTTATGGTTTCCGAACAGAATTGGATATTCAAAAAGGGGACTTTCTGGGTTGATGGGTACAGAAGCCATTTTCTGTGTATGAACCATAGGGAAATAATCACTGTCTAATAAAGAATTGGTGTTTGGTTTTGTTTTTAAAGATGGGCCTTATGGGGTGTTTGCCGGAAGAGATGCATCCAGGGGCCTTGCCACATTTTGCCTGGATAAGGAAGCACTGAAGGACGAGTATGACGACCTTTCTGACCTCACTCCTGCCCAGCAGGAGACCCTGAGTGACTGGGACTCTCAGTTCACTTGTAAGCATTTTTTAAACTGTGCCAAGATCAAATTTCTACCAGTAATGGGGATTCACAGCAGTATAATAGTTATTGCTAAGCAGCCTGAAACCTGGGAACATTTTGATAGGCTCCTGAATCTTGGACAGATCAAGTTCATGGCTTGAAGTAATTGCAGCAGTGCTGAGTCGCTTGCTAAGATTGCATACCAATTTTTAGCTAGTTCTGAATGGAAACCTGGCTTCCTGTTTTTGTTAAAATTTTGAAGGTTTGCATAGATTCCACACTAGTATTTGGTGCTTGGTGTGTAGGGGAAAGGACAGTGGCCATCTTGACTACAGAAAGAGGGATTTTCATAAGTCCTCTCTTGTAGAACTTGCCGTTTAAAAGCAGCCCACATCTCTGTGGAATAATGGGAGACTTGTATTCTACAAAACAGCTTCTCTTTGGATCAAATTGAGCCTAACTATAGGCCTCATAAAAATAATGCTTATAATCTGCCCAGCAACAGTGGTGTCTGCATTTAAAAGAAAGAAAAAAGGAGACCCCTGTTTCATGGCTTGTGCTGTGGGCTGAGGTCTTTGGAGGGGAAGTAAGGATGGGAAGTTCAACTTCGGAGAATTCAGGAATTGACTTCTGTCAAAGCTAAGGGTATAATTATAACTTTAGCAATATTTTACTGCCAAGAATTTGAATGATATCTTTCCCAACTTTTATGAAACGGTGTCCAAAAACAATGACCATTTCTTTGAGGGAAAATTTTCATTTGAAATGTAGATTTCTATTTGCTATGATTAGTTAAATATTACCGGTTCTTTTGGCTAAATCCAACCATTTTCTTTGAAAATAATGCTGACTTCAGAGAGTTCTGGGTTAATCATTAGCCACATGTGGCTCTACTTTTAGAGTCTGGCTCTCAGGCAGACTAAGTGTAACTTTTAAATCTGGAGGCAAGTCTTTGTACTTTGAAAACATAATTCAGCTACCTAACATAGTCCCTCATTTTTTACATCCTAAGGATGCCTTTGTAACAGTGGATTCTTCTACGTGAAACCAGTGAGTTTATAATATATAATTTACAAAGCTCCATTTGCTAGGGCTTGCCTGCATTAATGTGAGAAAAAGTGTTGTTTTTTTTTCTCTCTAGCCCCAAATACTGTTGTGACACCTCAGCTACACTCACAGCCAGTGTGGATTCCCCTAAAGGCAGGTTTCCCAGGCACCACTCAGCTTTTTCTCTTAGCTGTCTCGCACAGTACCAAGCACCCTAGGGACCTTTATAATATGTTCAAATAGGGAAGTTCCAATTGTTCTCAATAATTATTTCACACAAAAGCAGCTCTGCTTACCTGGTTAGACAGGTTGGTTACTCTTCTAATTCCTACTCATATTCAGAAAGAGGAGGTTCAGTCCCCTTGGCCTCTGGCATTGAGACGATTAACCCTGTATTAGCTTGGCTGCAACAGTGTGGTGCTCGGCTGACTCCATCCCTTCTCAAGTCTTGGGAAAAAAGCACTATGCTCTTGCACACTTAAATGTGTTTTCTCCAACATCTCCAGTCCTCTCCTGGCTCCTTTACCACTTCCTTTAACTATGCATATGTTTTCTCCGTGTTGGGAAGAAAATTCTGTCTCCTGCTATCCTCTCCATCCACTAGACTATTATCATCCCTTCCCTATCAAACGAACTTCTAGTAAGTTGTCCCTAGTCACTGCTTCATTTCCTCTCTATACCTTCCGTCCTGTTCCCTACAGTATGGCTTCTATCCCTACAATTCTGTTGAACTTTCTCAAAGGTTTCCAGGGGCCTGCTTCTTGCCAACACTGACTTCACTTCTCCAGTCCTTATCGTAGATCTCTTTTGTCATGTGTCTCTCCAAAGTGGCTCCCTTTATGGGGTCCCCATTTCTTTCTTTCTTTATACACAGCTTGTTTTGTGACATTGGTTGCTATCCCCTCAATGCGTCAGCACTCTCCCCACTGCCTCCCTGGGGTCCCATTTCCATTCGCCCAGCTTTCCTGCCCCTTCCTGCCTTCTGAACTTTGCTTTTGGGCAAATGCTTCCCTTTTGGTCTCACATGGTTGATTGTTCTGAGGAGCATGTTCCTCATGGGTGTTACTGTTCACTTGAGAGGCCTGTCTATTGTTTAGCTGAATGATGATCTCCAGGAGTGGGTTCACTTTCAAGTTGGAAGGATGTCTATGGGCCATAGTCTTGGGGGTTCCACGAGTCTCTATCAGACCAGTAGGTCTTGTCTTTTTTATGAATTTGAATTTTATTCCAAATTTTTCTCTCACTCTGTCCAGGACCTTTCACTGTGATCCCAGTCAGAGCAGTCAGTAGGGTAGCCGGGCACCATTATGGGGTCCCCATTTTTGTCTGGAATCTCCAGTTTTCTAAGCATCTCATTAACTCATGTTTCCAGTTTTCCTGTCTTTCATCCTTCCTTTCCCTTTCCCATGGGCACCATCCTCCTGGCTCTGTTGTTTCACCCCTGTATCTGCACACTACCTTCCTGTTTGCCCTGCTCCTAGTCTCTTACTGTAATTTGCCCTATACACCCTGTTTTACTGTGTGATTCCTTTGCTCAGTGCCCTTTGCCACCAATAGGGTATGACTCCAAACTCCTTAGGCTTTCTTGTCAGATACCTCATAATATTTCCCTATACTACTTAGTCAACCTTATCTCCTACTACTTCCAAATGCCAACTCAGTTCTTGTCAAGTTGGTCTCTTTATTGCTCCCCAGGTGGGTTCATTCTTACCTGTATTTCTTTACACATGGTGTTTTCATCGCCTGCAAATCTCTCCCTCCCCGAATCTTACACATTTTGCAGAGCTCAGCCTTAGTACCTATCTTTCTTCCATGGAGTGTTCTGCAGTTCTTCTAACTCAGACTGAACCCTTGCTCTTCTAAACATTCCTACACACAAACAGGATTCATTTTCACTCGCTGTCCAACATTGCTACCTGTTTTATAGTCTGTCTTCTAAACAAAACTAATTCGCTGTGGGCAAGAACTATGTTATAAACCACTTTTGAATCCTTCAAAACGCCCAGCACATTGCTGACTATGTTGTAGACCTCCAGTAAATGCTTTAGAATGAAAATACTTTTGGAAGTAATTTTCTGTAAAGCATGAGAATAACCATTTGTGGTTTTTTTTTTTTTTTTTTCCTCTTCCTCCAGTCAAGTATCATCACGTGGGCAAACTGCTGAAGGAGGGAGAGGAGCCCACTGTGTACTCAGATGAAGAAGAACCAAAAGATGAGAATGATCGGAAAAATGATTAAAGCATTCGTTGGAAGCATATCTATTTTTGTATTTTGCAAAATCATTTGTAACATTCCAGTATGTCCTTAAAGCATTGTGATTTCAATATTTAGAAAAGTTTTGAAATTGCTGTAAAGTTTTTAATTATGTGTAACATCACTAGTGACACTGATAAAATTAAATTCTGTCTTAGAATATGCATGATATGTTGATGTGTCACAGATCCAGAAAGTGAACTGCCGTGCTGTAATAAAAACATTAACACTGTTTTTCTTCTACCTTTAGTTAGTGCAGGCTGAATTCAATTTTTTTTTTGAGAGAGACAGGTAAGACTTTGATATTTCCAAAACAGCTAAACACGTTAAATGTGCAAAGTCCTTCAAACACCAAGAACAAAGGACCAACTTTTAGTCACGATGTTCTTTAAAGAACCTTATTTTTCAATTGACGTAACTGCATGATTTCTGTTTTATCTACCTCTAAGGCAAATCTGCAGTGCTCCAAAGAATTTGGTATCAAGAGAGCTGTCCAGTAACAAAATGGAATCTTAGAGCTGGACTCACTTGGCAAAAAACATATTTGCTGTGTTTCTGGACTACTTTGTATTAAAACAGGATCTGAACATACAAAGGAAAAGCTTAAAATGGAAAAAAAAATAAGCTGGCTTGCCTACAAACCTAAATTTACAAAGATTATAGCACTATCTTCCCAATTCCCATGTTCCTCGCAAGGTAATGGTTATCTTACACAATTTGAAGTGAGGGGGAGGCACACAGAACAGGAGGAGCAGGTGCTTGCTCTCCTAAGAGCCTTCATACACACCCCCAAAGAAGGAGGGAACAGCAAACGCCACTAGCCAAGTGATTTTTAAAGTTACTCATAAGGTAACAGTCATTCTTCTGTTGTTACAAAACTCTAGCCACTGCGAAAGTAGTAGTCAAGTATCTAAGTCTTTGATAACGGTTTTTTGGTTAACACTAAACTTAGCTTAAGTAGACTGTACAGTTGTATGAATTTGCAAAAGTATTATATGAACAACTAGTGAGGTTTCAAACTCTTGTAGTTAAATAGTCATTGTATTTTCTTGTGAACTGTGTTTAATGGTTTTACCTCAAATCAGAAAACAAAATGAAGTGCTTTTGTCAGTTAATAAAATGATTTTACCCAGTATAGTGTGGTGGGTTGTTTTACTTTTTTTTTTGGACCTTAATCTAAAGAACCAGATTCGGTCATTTTACATTAGCTTAACAGAGTTTCACTTTTGAATACAGATTCGTTTTATTCCAAAAGAGACGAGGGAAGGGGCAAAAATTCAGAAACCTCACACCACAAACCAAGTACCAGCTTGTCACGTTAGGAACTACTAATTGATTTTTTGCGTGTGTGTGACTTGTCAAAGTCTGCCTCCTTAAAACTGTAAACAGCAAACCCCATCTTGAGGTCTATAGCAAGGTCATTGAGGGGGTAATTGTACTGAAGGCATTGTTACCAAGTGCTAAGAAAGGATTTTGCTGGTCTTGTTTTAATGTCTGATCAGGAAAGTATTCAGAAATCCATGTATTAGCAAAGTTAATTCACCTCAGCAAAAGAAGGATATCAGATTTGCATATGCAGTCAGTTGTATAAACTACAAGAAGCCTATTAACTCTGAATATTAGCGTTTCGTTGTTTTGAAATTGGCAGCCTTTTCTTACAAGAGATGTACTCCGAACCAAAGAAAGCGCAGTTTTCCATGCCATCAAACCATATTGCATGTATTTTTTAAAATGTGCCCTTTTCCCCACTAGGTTTCATTCAACAAATATTTGAGTGCCTGTTTTGTGCCAGGCAACCTGGTAGGCCTTATGCTTTGGGGAAGGGCAGGGGGGCGGGGGAGAGAAGTTGGGCCACAGTTGCAGCCTGAAATCGCATTTAGACGTGAAGATTAGGCTACTTCTTTTACAAAGTTAAACAGGCTTGTCTGCTGAAGCATCCAGAGCCTTGTTACAGCTTCACTCCCAATAGCCTGATACCCACCCATTCAGAGCTGAATCAACGTTGTACTGATTACATGTAAAGGGATATTAACTATAAGCCAGGACTTTGATCTAAGAACTTCTCAAAACTAGCTAGCATATTCCTAAACCATATTATGTAAAAGGTGCCACTGAAGAAGATGAGGGAGTGGTGGTAAAACCACCATAGTAGGCGGAGGTTTTCAGGTTAACATGGGTTTGCTCCCTACGTGCTTTCATCCAACCAGCTGCAGAGGTATTTTGTTCTCGGTACCAGCATCTGTAGTTCATAAGTAGCGTTTTGCTATGTGTGTTTTAGTAAGTCTCCATATTTGTGGCTTCTCCGCATAATTTTAACATTTACCTTATCCCAGAGGGCCAAGTTTATGCAAATCATAGATCCAGAACAAACATCCATACATTCCTTGCTGTTACAGAAAGAGCTCTTTGAACCCAACAAGGACGCTTTCAGCTCTAAAGTGGCAAGATTTTACTCTAAGGTACAGTCTGCCTTTGTGATATAATACTTAGAGGCAGCTTGCTGTACATTTCATGTGAAAATACAGTTAACTCTTGTATGGTCAAAGACTGATTATTGAGGGCCCTAGCTTCTCGGACTAGATTCTCTATCCGGCACCCACACTTTTATTTTGGATATAGTATAACTTTGAACACCTCCACCAGGTGCTGAAGGGATGAGATAAAATTCAATCGAATCAATTTTTCTACCTTTTAAATAGTTACAATAAAGCATTTGCTGAAGGGAGGATAATCTTAAACCTAAATATCATCATTTCAATTTATCCAAAATGAAAATAAAACTGTGAGATCTTCAGTTCCATGAGCTCTGACAGAGTCAGTTTCCACAAGCTGGCATCATAAAAGAAAAAGCTGCATAGAAACATCATATTAAAACTAGACACCAATATTTTCACAGAAAATGTTATTGTGGGTGTGCAACACTTTAGCCAATACATTTAGCAAATGAACAAAGACTCAATATTCACTATAACAATTTTATTTTTAATCTCTGAAAATTAAATATGTATCGTTTCTCTACCAATGCAAATGAGAAGGATCAGCAACATTAGTGCAAAGCAGCATACTACAGGGTAGAAACTTTGACCCAAAAGTGGAATTATCAGCATTTATTGAAAACTTAACATTTGAAACAATCTTTTTAACAAATAAAAATACACCTATTTGGTTCTTATTTTCAAAATCACCAGGTTATGTGGCTTACTACCTGAGAAATTGAACAAAAATACATTGACAGGTTTTTAGCTTTCTTAAAACGTTATCAGCAGCGCATACAAAGAAAAACATAGAAAACACTTCAAAAGACAAAGTTTAAAGTTGAGGCCCTTACTTAATAGGACGTAGAAGAAAAATATGAGAAATTACTTTTGCACCACTGAAGTAACAGCACAACAAAGAATAAAGACATTAATTAATAGAAAGTGGTTACAATATATTCAGTGCTATTCTATTCCTTATTGAGCCAGTCAATTGAAAAGTACAGAATAAGTTGTTCTCTTCCTCACTTAAGGCCTACACAAAAAGGTTTACTCAAATCTAGAATGCATTACCATAAAACAGACATAAAAATCCAAGGCTGTACAGAAAGTAAACATAAAACCAGTATTTTTACTTTCTTCTGGGTCCCAGGACAGTATTTATCAAATAAACAAAACAAAAATTTTATATAGAAGTGACTTAGCACCAGTTCTATTATACCAAAAAAAAAAAAATTGCACATGCTGTATTCTGCAATTTATTTTTTAGATCTGGTTACTGAGCAGCAAATTGTTTTCATGCCTATAAACTCTGCAAAGAAAAAAAAATAAAATTACAGAAGAAATTGAGATTTATTTTGTCAAAGCAAGCATAGCTGCTTTCCATTACAAACCCATAATGTTCTTTGTCTCAATGGCATGAAATATGAAAAAAGAAAGAGGAAGGTCATCATTGGAGGAGAATAATACCTAGTTACCAAAAGTTGTCTGACCAAATACTAGCTGTTGGTAGTTTAAAAGGCTACTCTGGAAAACAGTACTTTGAACATTAATAGTCATTGCTAGTCTTGAGAAGAGAAAAGGCACTCACCCCATGAGCGATTTTTCAGATTTGACAAGCCAAATCTGGTTTCAGCGGCAGAGTCGCTGGCTTGAAAGTAGAATCAAACACAAGAGAGCCAACAAATCATTAATTGGTCACTATCTTATTAATAATAAACACGACCTCCTATGTTATGGTCATTTCCGAACTATCTTACTAATAATAAACACGATCTCCTATGTTATGGTCATTTCCAACCTTTACATGCACGAACATACCTCTATTAAAATGTGATCAGAAGAGATCAATGAAACAACTTGTGGCTCTTCAGATAAAGGAGGAGATTTTGTAGCCCCTTCAGATACCAGGTTGCACAGGAGGCTAGTTATGAGCACTTGTTGTGGGACTGACTGGACCCTACCTGGCTCTACCAGCTGGTACTTTATTACAGAATATCAAGTTAAGATTGTTTGAAATGAACCACGTCATATGAAAATGGCATTTTCTACTACTACCGTGGATTAAAATCACCTTTTTCTGCTACAGACAGTCTCTAATCTCATTGACGTCTTCAGTTGTCAGGTCAGGTAATAGTTTTGTTGGGAAAAAAAAAAAGGTCATCTACTGCCCCTGAGGTCCTAAATCCTGTGTAAGGCAGAATGAATCAGCCAAGCTTTCTATAGAACATGTACCACACTAAGATGTAAGTCTTTAAGAATCTATAAAATATCTCCATTTAAAAACATATTTAAGAAGTCCAAAACCAGCAGGTAGAAAGATAAATTGTTTTATGTTAAGAGTTTACAAATCCTGCACACATAATTTTTTGTCCCCAACTAGAAAACTAACTATAAGCTTTGCCCTTGACTCTTCCTAACCCCATGGCATTATTGAGAATTAAGGAGGCACTTGTTACTGTTTTATAAAAGTCAGCTTGGGGATATTCAGTGACTTTTTACCAACTGATGTCACCCAACCCTGAGTGAAAGGATTACATAGCCCGAAATGGAATACTGTCATGTCCTCTCTTCCCAAGTGCCATTATTGGTGCCCGAGGATCTTTCAATATTTCCTTTTGCAAATCCCACTGGTTAAGTCACTTCAATCCTTTTGCTTTTCTAGGATGGAAAGACATGGGGTTCTTCAAAAAACAACTCTGCTAATGATGTGCTATACATTTAAGCCTCAAAGGACAATCTGAGCCTCTTTTAGATTCTTCTTCCAAGCCTTTGTTTCCGAAAGGATAACTCTTTCAGTACTATGAACATATTAATAAGATAATTTCCTTCTGGTGGATGCTCATGAGACACATCTAACGTCATGAAGAAGTCTATTATATGTTCTTCTCTTATCTATAATTATTTGTAGATAAAAGTTAGGAAAGTTTGTTGCTGCACATGGTGTCTCTGACCAAATCAAAGAACGTAGAAAAAGATCCGTATTTGTTTGCTTCTGATACTAAATGATGACGTTATGACAGCTAAGGAGTCAGAGGGCTATCTCCATACACTCAGTGTTAATTTGCTCCTTCGCTGGCACCAAATTAAAGTTGCAGTTGAACTGTAGAAACGTCTGTCCTTGGATCAAGAAGTTTTGCAAGCACATTGTTTTACCAAGCTTCAGAATCTGGATGCTTTGTATTGCCAAAGCTTGCCAACACACCTGCAGTAATTTTGAGACAAGGCATTGCGTTTAACCTTGCTCAAGCTTTTAAATGTTGCTCTTTTGCTCTATAGTTGCTAGCTAGATAGCTATACCTGGTTTTAAATTTTCATCTTGAAAATTGTTTACTGTGAAGAAGAATGTTCCTGATCTAAGTGCCCATCAAAACATTTGAAAATATAAAGAACTAGTGTAGTTGTTTCCTAAATAGCTTCCATAGCCAACGTCTTCCTGACTATTATGTCTAATATAGTAATTATCAGAATTCAGCATGAAATCTTCAGAATTTCCACGTCTTTTAAAGCTTCTTTCATCCTGGTTATATTTTGACTTCCAAGGAGTCTCTCTTCTTGTGTAAAAATCTCTTAAATAGAAATCGTTAGCCCTTTTTGATGACGTTATTGGCACATGAGAGGGTCTAGAGCTCACTTTCTGGTCGAATGTGGTACCATTAAA